TGCCTTCATGTGTTATTCTACATCTGTTCTGCTTGATTTCTTCCTCACCACCAGCTGGTTACAGCAGGTGACTGTCCTTCCCTGAGCCTGTTTCTGCAGGAGGTTCCATCCTGTTAAAAGGGAGTTTTTCCTTCTTTTAGTTTGTGCCTTGTGAGCAAAATATAATATGAACATATTTAAGAAATTAAATTAAAAATACTTTTTACTAAACTTTATGTTTCAGTATGTAGGATGATCATCGAGAATCATGTAAATCAACTGGTATTGGTTCTACTTGATTTCTGGTATTGTGACCTCCTTCATTTCTTGTGTGGACTACAAAGTGCAGCAACGTTTGCAGCAAAAATGCATGTAAAACTAATTTATATTTAGAAATGTATTTAAACATGGTTCTTAAACACTGAAGTATTTAGCTTAGTTTGTTATACCAATTTGCATAACTAATTATTAAAAAGGTGTTTTTGTTAAAGTGCCACTTTGATTAAACTTTTCAAGCGCTTTAAGTGGAAAGCAACTGATTCAAATATATATGTTGTAGTTTGATGTTACTTTAAATAAATGTTGCTGTTGAGCAATGTGAATTTATGATACTTCAATCACAATTTATGATGCAGCTATTAAACAAAAATGTGTGCACGGTAATAAATGGTTAGCACGGTCTCTGTTTGAATTTGCTTGGACCTGGCGTGTCCTCCGTATGCCTGTGTAGGTTTTCTCTGGTTTCTCTGGAGAAAACGTTCAGTGCAGAACACTGTGCACACTCTTTCATGCATCAACCAGCACTCGTCTGATTGAACATTTTCTCCAGAATCCCCTCCAGGCCCAGGTTCATTTTCAGACGTATAATTACAGACAGCTACAGAGAGGCCTGCCTCTGTGTGTGTGTGTGTGTGTGTGTGCGTGTGTGCGTGCGTGCGTGTGAGTGTGTGGAGAGAGAGTGTGAGAGTGTGCGTGTGTGGAGAGAGAGTGTGAGAGTGTGCGTGTGTGGAGAGAGAGTGTGAGAGTGTGCGTGTGTGGAGAGAGAGTGTGAGAGTGTGCGTGTGTGGTTTCAGAGGCGTCATCGGAGGTCCATAGTTAATCAGCAGGCGACCTGAAGTCTCGGGGATCAGCACATCGATTCCCTCCTGGGGCAATCAATTCTATCAAAGGCATTACTTAAACTGAACTCAGATCAGAAAGTGGGAGACAAACTGCCCAGAAGAAATCACAAGGACAAAGTAAAGAATGTGACACAAGGCGGTAGAAGGCTGTAAGAAAGGGGGGTATATTCAGTCTATACTTTAGGACAAAGTCAAGTGTTCTGAGTGAGAGACAGAAAAAAAGGAAGATCTTAGTGAAGGAAGATCTTGTTTCTATAGACTGTATCACTCAATTAATGGTAGATCTTTTCGAGATTTTTTTAATTGTCATATTAAATGCTTTTCTCCAAGACTATCTTCAAAACAGTACGTGAAGTAGATTCATGTATGAAATAGAGCAGGGCGATATGACCAAAAATATTTATCACGATATACATTTGAAAATTTGCGATAACGATATAACTGACGATATAATTGACACTAGACAAAATACTTTACAACTCCACAACTTTATTGGTGCAAAAAAACCCAAAACATCAACGTATTTTCATTTAAACAAGCAGCTGTTTTTCATGTGCATTAAAGTTATATAAAAATTTAACAGTGCAAATGCAAATTCCTTGCTGACAGTTTAACCAAAAAGCATTTCCAGTGGGAAGTGGCCGACATATCCTCAGCATAACCATGTATAATATCCACAAAACTTAAAAAGAGGTTATACACACACAATACGGTAATATTATGTTGAAGCACAGTACGTATCACTCCGCGAGGCTCTTGCCTACAACAGCCGTGATGCTCCAACAATCCATCAAGCGGTGCGGCTTTGTAGCTTAGCAAAGTCGTACTAAAACATTTGACAGATTTTCCAGCGCCGTGTACCACATAAAATCGTTTCGAGGTCAGTAAACGCAACCAGAATTCATACATAAGGCACACGGGATTATAAGGGGCACTGGCGATTTTCAGAAAAATCAAAGGATTGATTTTAAGTGTGCCGTATTTTCCAAAAAACACAGTAATAACGACGGCCTGCTAGCATGTGCTACCAAAAATAGTGCTTTGTTGTGTATCTGACGGACGAAAGCTAAACCAGTTCCACACCACTGAAGTTGCAGCATTTTTACAAACCAATTCTGGTTCATCCGTTTTATTTAATGATCTGCTTTCGCCGCCATGCGTATGAAAACAAAGGCACTGCGCATGCGTGTTTTACCCATATTCTATCGCGATATTTCCTTTTTCTATCGTTGCCCAACATTAAACCGGTATTACCGTGAACGGTATGATATGGCCCAGCCCTAGTATGAAATATGGTTGCTTGTGTAGTCAAGCACTAAAAGAAAACTAGATTAGTCAGAAACACACATTAATGTTTCCAGAAAAATGTTAATACTATTCTGATGTTTGCAAGAAAGCGTATACAGCAAACTTAGACGTTCTATTACTTGCACATAAACTCATCTGGACACACACAGCCATGAGGATCAATGGCTGGGAAAGTTACAGAAGCTCTGACAGTGTCTGACCTTGATTGGATGTAATGAGACTTAACCACAAGTCCACTAATCTGATGAAATGACCTACAGATTCACCTCGTGATGAATACTAAATAAGAGCATCGACGTTAGTTTTATTCACATGCTTATGCCAGTGCGTGCACTTGGATCACTCATAGGCACGTGCATGAATGCACGCACCCACACACATGTCCTTGGCCTATCCCAATCATACTTATTACTTTAAGGATCTTCAAAGAGTCCTTTGATCACCTCTTTGAAAATCATGTGTTAAAAAAAAACTGCAAATAGGTGTTAGCCTTTTTGAAAAAGAAGGAAGTGGGAAGTCAAGGCACCACTAGCTAAGATGAATTTTTGTAAAATGCCAGTGATCGCTACTAATAAACAGATAATTCATCTATGTCAAAACTGAAAGCCATCATGCTTTCATGTTGACTACACCCCTTATGCTCTTTTCTTCCAAAACTATCTTAGAGCACGCTTACTATAATCATTTGATACAAATATTTATCAAGTTTATTTTTTCCCCCACAGATTTATTGAAAGTTACTGACAACTCCAAGACTCAATCTTTGAGGACTCCTGGTCTGTGTTATAAACAACAAATTTCCCACACGTGGGACTAATAAAGGTTATCTCATCTTAAACAGCTTGAACATGTAGTTAACAATCAAGAAAAAGAAAAGTATTCATAAAGTTTAAAGCTATATATAGTAAAAGCCTCTTATATCAAAGAAGTACTTTAACATCTACCAATTCTACCACAGGCCATTAGCCTCCCATCCAAAAACAAAAAGTAAAGTCTTTAAACACTTGAGCTTCAGTGAGCTTCTGTTTCCACCACACTAACACATACACTATGTAAAGTACTGTGGCTTGTTGGAGGTTGCTGAAGTAACTCTCTTTTTAGGTGTGAAATTGAAGCACACTGTGTTGTTCTCAGACATGCCCGGATTAGTGTTGTTGTTCCGGACAATATGATTTGGTACAAGCATTCCCACTACTATCTTGACGACATCTAGCTTTAGATATACTGAGCCCAGCCCCAGTACTCATGAAGCTCCCTAAGTTTTGGAATCAATGTTTTCAGACATTTACTCTCAGGATTTTTCCTACCATGCTTTTCCCTTCTAGTCAAATTTCCATTGATATGTTTCAATAAAGCACAACCAACCTTTCTGGAATTAACTTCTGTGGTTTACCCCACACGTCATTTGAACAAGTTTCAAGTTAACGGTCTTGTCCATGATTGAGGTCACATGTACTGAACTAAACTGAGTGATACTCTGTATTTACGTTGTATGAATAGCTGTTTATGCAAACCCAAATTAGATCATTTGAGACACTTGATTACTGATTTTCAGGAATCTGTTATTTTGGCTATATTGATATATATGATGAATATGATGAATGGAGAACTGATGATAGTTTACATTTTTTAATTCAAAGAAACGTATTACTTTTTAAAAAATTGACAATATTCAAACTTTTGAGATGTACTAATTTGTGCAGAGGAACATTTCTCATTATGTTTATTATTATGTGTATTATAAGCATGTTTTGCAACATTATGGCATCACTAATTTGAAGTGAGAAACAAAAATGTTGACATGGACAGCTTATGGTTAACAGTTAAAAAACCTTTGAAATAATATAACATGTATTAAGGAGAGAAGTACAGAATAATGTATTTCATTGTTTATGAGCTGCTGCATTTCCAGAACAGACTCAAATTCAACTGCAGTCATTTTGATAATTACAGGAACACTAATAAAACCTTACATTACATTTGTCTGTGTAAAATATAACTACATTAGCTGCAATGCACCGTAACTATCAAACAGCTTTACAGTTTCCATTAGGGTTAAAGTGATAATATGTGAACTTGGACAAGATGGGGAAAAAAAGTTTCTAAAATGCACTGCGTGACTGAATATGTAATTTAGAGAAATTTTCTCTCGTGTCATGAGCTACTTAATGAGAACGAGATGAATTTAGGGCTCAGTAATTATTTCTAATTCTCCCTTTGAGGATGCTCAGCAGACATCTTGTCCACTCTTCTGCCATCGAGGGCCTTGATCAAACCTTGTACAAAGGTTCTGAGTCTGCTGCTGAAGCAGACAACAAAAAAGCCACTAAAAGCTATTTTCTGAGGCAATGTGCAAGAAACAGAAGGTTAGCACGGCGGCGTGCAGCAAAATATGACACACTGAAAATGAGTGACCTTGGGAGTTTTACCAATGATGGGAAGTGTGTGTGTGTGTGTGTGTGTGTGTGTGTGTGTGTGTGTGTGTGTGTGTGTGTGTGTGTGTGTGTGTGTGTGTGTGTGCGTGCATATGTGCTGACAAAACTGACTTTGCTCACAGTTTTGCCCAGTCAGTGTGGCTGTGCTGCTACTTACTGCAGATTGAATCGCCTTCATCTGAACCGTCTGCGCACTCTACTTCTCCGTCACAGCGCCACCTAGCAGGAAGACACTGTCCATTCTTACAGGTGAAATCTGTGGCTGCGCACGTCTTCTTCGCTGTGTAGAGAAGAGAAACATTCAACATTATCATATGGCCTCAAGAAAGCATTGTGTCTGCTGATACTCTGATAGTCATCACCACAGTGAATGATTGAACCATCCATTTTCTTAACTGCTTATCCAATTCAGGGTTGCAGGCAAGAGACAGGGTACACTCTGGACAGGTTACCAGTATAACACAGGGCTAAGAGGGAGACAACCATTCATACCTACAGCCAAGTCTGAATAAGCAGTTAACCAAACAATCAAGTCTTTGGACTGTGGGAGGAAGACCGAATATCTGCAGAGAACAAACTCTACACAGAAAGCCCCAGTCACCCGGCACATCCGATACCACTATTAGACAATATAATTGATATTTACTTGGACATAGTCTCTTAAGCACAGCAAACAATATCTGATTAAAGCTAAAAAAGAAAAAAAAAAACAATACTTTAGGAAAGATGTGATGTAGAAGTACGCACCAAGAAAACATGTCAAATGTTTTCACTTAACAAGTCAACAAGGTAATTAAAATTGAACTTTAGTTGAGAGCAATTCTGAGCACCAACTTGAAACCAATTTTCCAGTCCAATTTTAATTTAACCTACAGCAGGCAATGTTTCTACTTAGGCAGTCAGAGCATCAAAGGTGTGTTCAAGTGCAACTTGTATCAGAACGAGGGTCGTTTGATTAGGTACCCTTTGTTTGTGCGTCTTCTTTGAGGCAGACTTAGTGGGTCAGGAAAATGAGTCTGGTGATCCAATGTGAGATGGTTTTTATTTCTTTCAAATTCAAATAAATAACAGTGTTTCAGGTTGAATGAATGAGAAAAGCACCGGCAGCTTAACCAGGCCTCTTTCTGTAAGGATGTGTTGGATATACTACATGTGCTGTGGGGGTCAGAGGTTTTTCTCCATTTTTAACCACCGCATGATCCACCTTCCAGGCTAACGCTGGCTCTGTGTAGCAGTGATAGCTTACGGAGTCCAAAGGTTTTGTGCAGTCACTTTCTCCAAGCAAATGGAAAATTGAAGCACTTGGGTCTGTCACGGGAAAAGGTAAAAAAAATAAATAAAAAATCTCTCCCTGACAGTGAGAGCCAGTGAACAAGAGAAAGCACTCGCCTGGCATGTTAGCGATGCCTTGGCTCACCATGATGAAATATATTGGGGGAAGGAGGTGGAGGGGGTTGACAAATGGCAAGAAAGTGTGCGAGTGTGAACAGCACTGTGCGTTTGGTGGTGTGTAGGTCAGCGTGATTTTATTCTGACAAGTGCATTTTTTTCATATGCACCACATACCTGATCTGCTGGGAACACAGGTTAGATATGAATACTGCGTGGACATACAGTAGTCTAACAGAATCCTAGCTGACTAAAGAAAACTAGCAAAAGTTTAAAAAGAAAATGGGGGGTTAAATGCGGTAGAGCAAAAAACAAACACCAATAGCTTAGTTTAACCTTAATGGAACGAGATAAAAAGCAAATCAGGATTTTGTCAAAATTGTGAACACAACTGAGACCACAATTTAGTTGTTTGGACACCATATTATTAGGAGAAAGGGTTTGGATTTGGGGGGTGTGTGTGGGTGGGTGTGTGTGTGTGTGTGTGTGTGTGTGTGTGTGTGTGTGTGTGTGTGGTCTATGGTATCAACTAAAGCAGAGTAACAACTGAAAGCCCAAAGGAAAGCTATAATAAAGAAGCACACACTATGGAAAAAAGCATTAGTGGGGACTAATGCATTCTAAATGTGTACGTACAATTACTTAAATGTATGGCAAATTGAAGAAAAGTCAGACACAACCATTTGCTCGCACGCTCACCTGTACAGCATTCATACCAAGTATAGAAAAAAGGGAGTTTAGGGACATGTTGTGCAATAGATTGAAGAAGGTGTAGGCATAGAATAAATGAAAAAGAGCATATCTCTTGGGATTCCAGACTAGTCAGAGCCAGAGACAAAAGTAAATAGAACGAGAAAGAGAAGAGAGGAGAGACTATAGGGGCAGAGAAAGAAAAGACAAGAGGGATACAGGCTGTTGAGGTGGGGTCTTGTGCAATGGCATTACTCTTCACAACAGACCACATAAATCCTTTTCCTTCCAACCAGCATGTTAACATAAATACCACCTCTTCCACTTTACCCTCCTTGTTTTTGTCTTTCCCTCCATCTCCACCTACAGCCTGATAAAACACCGGCCACAGTGTATACACCAGAATATTCCTTCACCTTCACAATACATCTGTGCTCATAGCACAACACAGTCATTTTCAGCATAAGACTGCCTAATTCGGATAAAGATAAATATTGGTTCAGGTGAAAGCCTTACAAGCAGGAGTTAAAGTGGGATTTGACAGATGATGAAACCCTAGGATTGGATGTAGCAGTGCAGCACGGAAAAAAATAATAACTTATAAGTAAATTAGTTTTTATTAGGCTGCGATACTACTCAGATATTCATTGATCTTTGGGTTTAGCAGACTGAATTCATCAAGATATAAGTAGATGTTTCACAAGCTGTATCCCCATGTCCTGATCCACACAAGAAGCTAGTAGAAAAGGTAGAATTCAACGAGTGAGCTTCATCACTTTAAACTGATGCCGTGATGCAACTTCAAACTGACCATGAACGCCGTGTCTGCTCTGAACCAACATAGTTGATCATTAGAAGTTTAAACTAACCAGTTTAGCTAGCACCAACTCTACCAAACTGACAGTTTGTTTCATGCAAGCTTGAATAAGACAAAATTAGTATTAATGTACTTTAATTTTAGCTTTGTAGGTTTTCACATGAACATTACGCTATTTCAGATCGACAAACAGCTCTTGTTTACAACATATAATACAAGAGTTTTTGTAAAACTTAAGTATCAGTTAACTAATTTTCTTCTTATCTTAAATATGAAAATGAAAATATAATTTCCCTGATGCCTTCCTTCTTGTTTTGGTGGGCAGAAATCATTTTCAATGATAGCACTCTTACACATCCCGGTTTACACTGGATACAGGTATTTTTTTTTAACCCCCCCACAAAGAAATGTGTTTTGTAGAGAATACTGGACATTTTAATTGTTCTGGGGGGAAAAAGTCAGCAAGTAATCTTCAGAAAGGGGTTGTGAAAACAGAAACTTCAATAAAATATATCGTAACTAGACAATACCACTCATCTTGACATTTAAGGTTCTAAATAAAATATCACATGCAGAGGTCTACGGCAGAACAGTCAGAAAACTGTAACAAAATAAAAATTCAAATTAAAAACTCAGTTTTCAGCAACAGGCTCAAAAACTGACACTAAGAATAAAAAAAAAATACCACTACACATCAAAAAGACTTTCGAATTTCACTTCTTCCATTACACACAGTAGAACTCCTTTAGTTAATGACTATGGAAGGAGCTTAATAGCTGTAAAAGCATGCATATATTATTTTAGAACCAACTAGGAAAACATCTACACATCCTCCTAAGAGTTGCTGATACACACACAAACTGCTGCTTACATTTACATTCTGATGCGCCAAGACCTGTCATATACAGATGCCATCCATATGGAACAGCCTAAACCTGCCTTATGATAAGGTTATTTTGAGAGAGTGAATAATGTGCAGTGGAAAACTACTACAGACATATTATGCAAATATACCCATGCATACCTACCAACAAACCCTCATCCTAGATGTGAAAAATCTGATTTTAGTTTACTGTCAAAAACAAAAACACACCAATAACTCACACATAATAGGATTTAATTAAAAAACTATAAATACATCAAGGATGTTCTATGTTGTATCAACATACTGCTTTTGGGAACAACTTTTTAATCCTCTGAGATCCCCCAAAAATGTATGGTGTGAAGTAAAAACCTATTAACATTGAACGGTCACACTTGAATGATCAGTATTAGGAGGCCTTACATTAATACTGTTAGAGCCCAACCAATACAGGATTTTGAAATTGTTGAGCAGTAAAGACTCCAACAACCCCTTCCCTTGTTATTTTGGTTCCCACATTTAAGAGAGCAATGGTGAATGAATGTGCAATTTCCACACTGAAGTAAGGCGGTTAGGGCAGTGATCTTATAAAGAAACTAGAGTTTCTTCATAATGACAGTAGACTAGTAAATGAATGCCAATTAATTGAGACATATTTCAGAAAACACATGTATGTTTCTTAAGACCTCTCAGGCTAACCATTTCCTTTTTTTGTGGAGAAAAAGAAAAAAGGTGTTTCTGATTTTACTGGGCTGGCCTCATCCACATTTAACCTGGGTACATGTGTCCCATAACTTAAATTACTTGGACGCCCCAATGTACATGGTACCAGAAAAACTGCTCAAGGATGCAGCTACTGCACAAGCTATGGTATTCAACTAACGGCACACTCCGGAGACCTTTATGATCAATGAGTGACTAAGCTGCCCTATCGACATTCATACAGTCTACATTCTGTCCATACAAAGCACATACAACGGATTCCTCTCCATATACTCCTGACAACATGGTTTGAGACACTATAGTTTGCCCTGAGAAAAGGTAAAGGTCAGCTCCTGCCTTGAAGTAATTCAAATAACAGACTCCATTACACACACACACACAAACACAAAGAGGGACAGCAGAATGTAAATTAAACATCCAGCAGCTACACAACAGAGGCATAGCTGTGTCACCTCTAATAAGGACCTGTTGACTCCATCCCTGAAATGTTGATTTGCAATGGCAACAATGGCATGAAACAGACAACAGCGCTGTGGTGAGATAACTTTCCATCCTTTAATTAGAGGTAGTGACAGTTTTGAATCGGGTTTTAAGCACCCTGAATAAACTAGCTTTGGACTTCTACACTGCTTTGCCATTCGGTAGTCCTTAAAGTTAAAGCTTCAGTCTTTAAAAATGTGAAGCAATTTTCACGTTACTATTTTTTTATTGCTATAAATGAAGCTTTTTTTTTTTTTTTTTTTTTTTTTTAAATCCTCCCTGCCCAGCTATCTTTTCTAATCATGAACACATGTGCTCA